TTTCAATTTGCAATAGCCAATAGCAAACTAGCATTGCACCCGCCCTCTGCTGCAGTTCTCCATCAGGTCCACCACTACTGATTGACAGCAGCAGAGGGTGGGTACAAAAGCTAGTTTGCTATTGGCTATTGCAAATTGAAATAGCCAATAGGAATCTAGCAATGCATTCCTATGGCCCAAAAAATAATAATTTATTTTTCTATTCTGTCACGGCTCTATGTCAGAATAAAGAAAAAAAAAGAAAAAGCAGTGTTTCTCTCCTTGGCGGCCGGGAGCGGGAGACTGCCGGAGCGCCCGGGAGAGTTTATTTTTTTCTTTTTTTTTTGACGGCAGCAGAACCGCCGGCCAATAGAAAACAGTTGGGCGGAGCTAGCTGTCATTGCTAGCTCCGCACAATCGTTTTCTATTTCTTTTTTTCTACTTTTTTAACTATTTTTCTGTTCTACTCGGTCCCACAGAGAGACCGAGCAGAACAGCCTAGCCGAATGCCGCTCAGCGGCATTCGGCTATTCACTCACTGCTGTTCGGCATCTATAAGAATAGACCGAACAGCAGCGAGTAGCCTACCGGAGGTTCGGCTTAGCCGATCCAGATGTTGGATCGGCTGAGTCGAACTCCTTCGGCTAAAATCAGCCGTACCAGCCTGAAGTGAATAGCCAAACAGCGTTGGACTCTCTTCGCTTTATTCACTCGACTGCCTATGAGAGCTTAGTGAATAGACCCCTATATATGGGCATTGTGTTGCCATTAATAATGGATGACTTTGTACCACAGTGCATGTTTATCTGTGCATTAACCTGGATTGTGGTGATGCTTTGTAAAACATATGTTTATGCATTGCTGTAGTGTGAATCCAGCCTCAAACCATTGTTAATGTAACCAATGACAACTTATGAATGCCTTTTGTCATTCAGTTGTATTCCATTTTCTCAGGTCAGACAAATGCAGTGAACAGCTGCAATACTGGAAATACTTTTGCTGCAATGGGGAGAGATGACATACCTGTGCGGGGTTCACTTCAGTGACAACCTCACCACTTTCCTTTGCTTCTTGGAAGGCTTGGAAGAAGTTTTTTTCTTCTGACTCCACAGTTACAGTGAGTACAGCATCATAGGCGGCTCGGAGCTTGGAGCTGAGTCTTAGCATCTCATATGGTGTCTTGTTATAGGGCAAGCTATAGTAGAGGGTATCATATGGGATAAACACATAGGTACCATCTGTCATTTTCAAGTCATGGGCAATTTCCAGAAGTTTCCGCTGTTGTTGGCCTCCGATAAGCACAGAATGCATGCACATTATGATCACTACAAGGGGTAAAAAAGTATTAAAATCTTTCATCACAAAGTATCCAATTATAGGCAAACTAAGCAAAGTCAGTATACAGTATATCTAAAGCAAAAAAAGGTTAAACAAATGCATACTAAATCATGATAATTATACAAACATCCCTGACCAGTGAGTGACTACTATTTACATAAAACATTACAATACTTTCTATATACAGATAACATATTACTATATTTTATAAAGGGGCTGCTACATTTTCAAACATAGATTTGTGTCTACTCTTTTTCATTTTTTGATCTTTGTAGAGCTAGGAATATGAACATTTGCAGACCTCTATTTCCTGGCAATCTGTTATAAAGTATATTGAGTGTCTACAGTATGTATCAGGATGACTGGTAGCAGGGAGGGGAGGCCAAGGTTTTGTGATATTTAGCACTTGCATTAATCCTATTGCACATAACATATATGCAACAAAGTCCACAAAGCCACTTAGGTAAGTGGCATTATACTTCTGGAAATACAGGACATAGGAATATACACTTTTTTTTTTTAATTCTTTATTTTTCAGTTTGAGCCAACATTTTACACAATACACATAACACATATACATTTGATCAATGATGTCGTACATTTACAAACGTAGGAAGCATATCTACATCTCCTAGCCCCATTCGCCTAGTTATCCAAAGATCAAACCGGAACAACATAATATCATACTCAACATCCGGGCGTGTGGGGCGACTGTATTGCCTATCTCGTATGTTTTAGTACGTATTAAGCTACAGTTGCAGTAGGCAGGTGTAGAAACCTAGGGGTCCACCTTTTAGCTTCCGGGGATTCAGGGAATTGGTGGGACATCGATTAACAACAGGACTTAAGAGGGAAGGGTTTACACACGAGAAGAGGGGGGGGTAGTACCAGCAAGT